CTAGCTCTTTTTAATCTTCCGGAATTTTGCACACCCTGATTTCTAATTAATTATGATTATGTAATCGCAATTAATGCATAAATATGCATTTGTAATTCCTATCGAAATGCATACCGCGCTGCTCTAATATGGTCTCGCTTAGCGGCGGCGTTCCCGCGGAGAAACCCGCATTTTCGCTTCTGCCGCGCGCGAGAACGCAACGCGGAACGCAGATTGCTCCGAACATGGAAGCGCGCGGATTTCGCGCGCAGGGTGAAGGGAAATACGCGCGCGCGTGCCCGCGCGCACCGCACGTGCCCATTACGTAAAGCGATCAAGTGGTCGCGTATATACCTACGGTGTCACCTTGCTGTCCGCGCGCGGCGACGACGACGACGACGGCTCGACCCACGCACGGTACCGCTACGCAAACGCTACGCAGATACCGCGCGCGCGTGGAGGCTCGCGCGCGCGAGAGACCGTGCATACGGGATGTCGCACTTTCTCGCGCGATCGTGAACGCGCGTCTCGGTTCGGAATTCCGGGGCGATGTTTTCCCGCCTGGCGTCCTTGCCCGGAATCTCTTTGCGCTTATAAAAAATATCGATTCGTCGTCAATCTGAGATGATCCGAGATGAGACATCGATGCGACGATCATCGGATTCAGCAGTAAAAGGACAAAAAAAGAAAGATTTCGGAGAATAAAAAAAAAGAGCTAGAAAAAATTTTCAGAAAGATCTTGTAGAACGTATGGGACACGCGGATGTGAAAACGTGGTCGTTTCTTCTGCAAGCTTAGCGGAAAAAGAAAAATAAATCAAGTGAGGGAACGCGTCTCTCGAGATCGAAGCGCGAGATTCGAGAAAACCTGCCATGCATAAAGCCAAGCCTGGGTCGCGACCGGGTTCAGGCGCAGATCCTGTTGCGAGTTCTCTCGCCCGGCGCGGACGGTGCATCGTCAGCAGCATCGTCTCGGGGCCTTTACGCCTTCATTGGCCGTTCGTAATATCTGCTCGATCGAACGAAACGGCGCGGCTTAGCCGACCTACTTACGGCCGACCGCTCCCTGCTCTCGAGAAGTCCTTTTTTCAGGTTTTTCCTTTCCTTTCCTTTCGGACTCCTGACACACCGCGGCGCGGCAACGCGCGCGCGCGCGCGCCTTCGACATTTATACCGCCGTCGCGTTTATCTCGCGCTTATCTGCATACAGACCAGAAACAATGTGTCGGATGATGAAGTAATCGTTGCGTTGCATTATATATACATGTATATGTATATATACATATATACATTTCGCGCGGGATTTACGGGTTGCCGTAAACGTCATAAAGCCGGTGTTTTATCGCCGGTCTTGAGAAACTGCCAGTAAAAACGTTGATAGCTGAAGACTCCAACTTGTATTCCACACACCCCGCACGTTAGACGTTGAAGTTAATGCCGCGGTATATCCCAAATGGCAACAATGTCGAGGGGCGATATTGCCAAGGTGGTGATTCGGAATCAAATTGGATTAGATCTTTTTTTTTTGTTTTAATTTTGCGCGTCGCGAAGTAACGAATTCCTCGCACGAACGTCGATACGCGACGACAGGCAGAGTCACGAGGAGCAGCCAGTAGTCACGCTAAACGCGGCCCCGGGATAGATTCGACAAGCGCCTCAGCCTCGTAGTGGCAACGACCCCGAGAGAGGCCTCGTATAGATCAGGAAGTGTACTCGGGCTCGTTCCAGCACGCGCTCCCTGGGTTTCGCGTTGGGGAATTGTGAGGATTCAGTCGTTGCGTCCGAGAGCCCGGGCATCGATCTTCTCCGCTCGATCGCTCCTGAGGCACTCCGTTCCGCGAGCGAGCGCATTCGTCTCAGCACCCTTTCGATCTGGCTGGCAACTGCAGCATCGTTTATCCGAGGGAACCGAATCGACGTCTTCAGAGACTTTAAACGATGCTGGTATATCTCGCGTCTCCCTGTATCTTCTCACATTTTATCGAATTCTCTTATATTTCAGCGTGAAAAGTGCTTATTGATTGTAAGATTGAGGAAATAATTATTTCGAAAAAAGAAAAATTAAAATATAGAAAGCGCTTACAATCTTTCGCTAATTTCTTTTGGGATGGATACAATTAAACACGAAGGTGAATTTATCGCTAATTACAAAACCGACTTGGTTTGTAGCGGGGCTATACGTCTCGGGTCCCGATTTACCGGAATTTTCTTTGCCGTCCCGATCCCTCTCGGTCGATCTCTCCTCCTCGTCTTCTTCGCTCCGCGAGCAAGAGCCCGTTCCTCTCGATTCCGACTCGATGTACCGGTTCTCATTTCATTTTCTTTCTCTTTCTCGCTGTCCGAAGGGGAAAGAGAAGCGAAAGGAAAAATGAGAGACAGCGAGAGAGAGAGAGAGAGGGAGAGGGAGAAAGAGATAGCGCGCGGACAAACGGAGAACCAGCGCAGCGGTGGAGGGAACCGGACGGGGAGCGAACACGACGGAGAATCGGGGTAGGAGAGAGAGAGAGAGAGAGAGAGAGAGAGAGAGAGAGAGAGAGAGAGAGAGAGAGAGAGAGAGAGAGAGAGAGAGAGAGAGAGAGAGAGAGAGAGAGAGGGAGAGAGTCGAAGATAGGCAGAGGCGTACATCGGTACCCCGGTCACGACGATTGCGCCGCAGGTATTTATAGCGCGGCCGAACCTGTTAGGGGGATTTGGTCAGAGGAACTCACGCACGCACGCACGCATGCACGCATGCATGCACGCAGCGGGCGATTCTCTTCACCCGAAGGTTGCCCGACGAACGGAACCGCCATTTTGGTGCCGCCTCGCCTCGTGGTGACCGCCGCCGTAGTCTGTTACCTTCGGGGGTTCGGCCGTGACGCAAGCGATTGCGCAAAAGATGTCGTTAGGCGCCTCGTCTAACTCGTAATTTCGAGGTCGGGGGATCGCCGGCGGTTTGGTTTGATTTCGAGCTCAGGGACGAGAGAGTCTCTTTCGAGAGGATCGTGAAAAGAGCGTCCTCCCCGAGGACGCCGCGGGGGCCGTGGGGATTTAAATTCCTCTCGCCCGATCTATTCCGACCCACTCTCGGAATTTCAACGGGACGGATTCTTGGCGGATCTCTGTTTACAGCAGCAGCAGCAGGACTCGTTAACTTCTTGACTTCTCGTACCCGCATACTCGTTAATGATTTTGGTAGCATTAAGATCTTGGTATTTATACGCGCTACTTTTTTAACGATACACAACATCAACGTCGAGAAATGTTGATTGCAAATAAAGTTTACTGTTATTATACGACATTTTTCAGCGAGCGGAAAGAATGTCGAGGTGTAATATACGATATTGATATCCCCGAAGATTAATCGACGAGACTTTTCTTCCTTCAATGTATTTTCTATAATGATCTCAGAATAAAACACGGCGTCCTCGCGCGGATAGTTTCCTGGTTTGCCGCTCCAACGTTATGATTACACAGTGTCCTCGTGCTCGTCGAAAAGTACTCGATAAGTCGCGAAAGTCGAGAGATTGTACGCGCTGCATATTCAATAACAGATTATCTTTAGAATCGCGACAAAAATAATAAGTCACTGGTGCACACCGCTGCGCTGTGACGAAAAAAAAATGAATTACAAAAAATTGCTATTAAACATCAACTGATTGATGACACCAGCGACATTTCTCGTCTTGATTCATTAGTGATAAATCGTTGATGTAAAAAATCATTCGTCAATTCTTCAATTTCGATATCATTGCTGAGGATGATCGTGGGATAGAGCGGTCCACAGTGTCCGTTCGCTTTGGGAGAAAAATCAGCGGGAGGAGACGATCGATGCCGCAATTGATTGTCGTTCGCTAATTGAAGACAGTTACTCGTCGGTGTTACTCTGAGAAGACATGCTCGAGGAGAAAAGTGGGAGATCACGTACGCGCGCGAAGGACGAACGTACAAGCGACGCGGCCGTAGCCGCCATACGGTACCTGCGAATCCTCAAGGTTGCTCGTAAATTCAGACACGGAGAGCAGCGGGCCAACCGCCAATCGATGGTTTTGACCGTCGTCGTCGTCGTTGTCATTGCCTCGTTCATGCATTACGTATGCCGAGTCCCGATCGGCCTGCACATCGTATCGAGACTCAATTTCTGTCTCACCTTGCGTCGCACGTCGCCGTTTGTACGAATCGCAAATCCGTGTCGTGCGTTAAGTGCTAAGTCGTGCGAACCTTGAAACGGGAAGTTCGTTCAAATTCCAACCGTTCCCGGTTTATTGTACCACCGCACCGAAGAAAATTGTAAGACAACTAAGAGTGACAAGGTCGGATTTCTTCAGAAATACCTTCCTGCCTTAAACCACTTGTTTTCTGTTCGTTTCCTTCAAGGATTTTTTAGTTAGATTACGGTGAATATAATTTACTTTATACTAGCTAAAGACACTAGTGTTTAATCAGTACAAGTTTAGTCAATATAAATTTAAGTCGAACTTATAAATATGAATCATCATCGACGGATAGTCTAGTAGTAGCAAATTAATTCATTTAGCTAGAATATTCAATTGACAAGATTTGTAATATATTGTGATATATTTGTGATATATTAAAAACTTTTTTGTCAATTGCTGAGTATTCATAAATAATTTCTTCAGATTTTTCTCAACTCATGATAATATATTATATTAATGAAGAAGGAATTTTAGAAGTGAGTCTCAACACAATTTTCCAATCTATTTAAATAATAACATGCGAAAAAACTTAGTTTGCCGTACTGTTCAACAAAGGACAGATTTAGATAAGCTTACTTATTTTCTTTCTTTAACTTTTCCGCACAATCATTCACAATTGGAACATATAGGATACAATTGTTGATCCCATCAGGAGTTTTACTCTACTTCTAGAAGTAAAATTCCTGGAATCATAATTTTGTCCTAGCTATTGTAAGTAATTGTGAACTAATGATACTATAATGCTGATGCTAGCTTTAGCCTAATACTCGTAGAAATGTTAATGGAAATTTCTTCCATTAACGAATATTTTTCTTTTCAACAATAGATCGTGACAAAACCGATGATGATCGAGCGACAACGCCGGAATCTTTACGCAGCAGCAGTCCAGCTCCGTCGCCGTCGCCGCCGCACCCGTCGAGCAATGCGACCAGTCCGCCTCCAAGACGATTCATCTCCAGCATCCTCGGCGGCGACGTACCGTACGGTAGCAGGCGTCACGTGCTCACCCGGGCGGAGCGTAAAGAGTACAGTAGCCCGCCGATAGCCTCGGATGATCCACCGCAGTTCCTGTCAAAGTCGGAGAAGGTCGCATTACCTAGGCCGCAGACACCGCCGAAAACACCCCGTGTCGAGCCGCCTACAAGGGTTTCCGTTATCCAGAGGGTGCCGCCTCAAGGTATCTCCAGAAAGGAGGAGAATAAGATCGAAGTCGAAAGTGTCGAACCAATACAGTCGCCCGAACCAGAACAGGTAAATCGAGCGTTATGAAAAATGATGCTTTAAAAAGCAGGTTTTAAAAGGTTTTGATGGATGAACATTTTTCGTGAATATGTCTAGACGCGTAAACATCTAGAACGATCTCGTGCGATCGTGGATTTATGCCTGTTTTAACTTAATGGATATGATTAAAGTTCGACTGGAATGATTTTGCACGTTGCATCCAGTTAAAGCGTTTCATATGTCTTGGCTTATTGAAAAATAACGAATCTTAATAATAATAAAAGTATTATATATAAGACATTCAAGTACGTCCGAGAAAGAGTGGCCGGGAGCCTGTTATTAGGCTGATACAGTCACACTTCGTTAATTTCGACAGGATTTCGTTAACCTCCTCGCGCGATGCCTCATACATTATGCATATCGACAAAGCGAGATAAAGAAGGGTGAGGAAAATTTTGCACGGTATTATGCGTAACATTATTTAACGTGAGGTTCTGACGAGCAGTTTCTTACGATTTTGCACGCAGTCGTTTTTCATTGAGGTACGAAAGCCTGGTAAATTCTATGAAAATGTGCACAGTAATTCGCAGTAATTTCACGAATATACGTTATGCGAGGAGGAAAAAAATAAACGAATGTAAAAGTCTATTTGTTAGGAGCAGATTCGATTTTACGTTGAAAGTTACGAACGATCGTGTCATATATCAGACGATGTGTTTTGATTCAAGAAATGTTCATCTACTAAATTTAATATTAATATTTAGAGTAAGAAGGGAAAATGGAGAATTGTGATAGATATGTGTAAAAAATAATAAAATGGAAAGAGAGGGGAGAGAGAGAGAGAGAGAGAGAGAGAGAGAGAGAGAGAGAGAGAGAGAGAGAGAGAGAGAGGTTAAATTAGTACACGGAGATTTTAATGCCTGGAGGAGAGGCTATGGAAAAGAAAGAAGAATAGGTGTGAGAGAAAAGAGTCTGTATGATGAAAAGACTGACTGCAATTTATTAATCTCCGATGTGCCTAATACTAACGCTTAATAAATCATTGCATCGCTTATTGCACTCAACATATCTCTCACGTTATTTTTTATGCTTCTGCCGATTGAAAACAGGTCTATGGATCCTTGTGTCTATGATAAACGTTAGTATTCTCTTTTCCTTTATATTAGCATTTTCTATACGTGTTTAATTTTTTGGTACTATATATAAAAGAAAATCGGATACACATATTATAATGATATATAATATAATTAATTAAACTTAATTAAAATGATAATAGTCCCAAAAATTAATATTTTATATTTTGTTGTATATTTAATGGCATTGGATGTATTTTATAAAATACTTAAATTCCCGTTTTGTTATAATTTCATATAGTTAAGCATGTAAATGCATGAACGAATAAACACACGTACATGAAATGAAAATATACCAAAAAGATATAATATTTATCTATAAATATTATATATATGTATACATTTTTTTGTTATAATTATATTAAATACTCAATAAAATAAAGTCTTTTGGAAAGAATACGAATCTTGATTTAATATACAATTATGTATTTAAAATTATCAATTGTTTATTCTGTTTAGTTGCAATTATGTCTGTAAATTGCATAATTCACTTTTTTACTTTTTTCATTTTTTTTACATTTTTATTAAACTTCATTTGTATTTATATATCTAGTTCTAATCAAATATTTCTCTTTTTTCTCTTAACAGCGCGTAACATCTCATCAATGCAATCTCATCTTTTAACACCTCATTGTGTGCTTTTGAAATAATAACAACCGATTTTACTTTGGTGAAACACATACTCCCACCAGTGGTCCAACCTTCAGTTGGCAGCAATTTGTATCAGTAAAAAGAGAGAAAGAGTGGGAGAGACGCAGCGATGAAAATGTGAGAAAGGGAACGTGAAGAAAAATGTGTAGACTTGGATATTTTTTTATAACGATCAAAAAGAGAACAAAATAAGAATTTTAAAAATTAAAAAAATTGAGATTTCACGCGTGTGAGCAATAATATTAATAACAATTTCAGGAGCAGCCCATCGACTATGCGGTGCCGAAGCGAAAGGAGGAGGACGAGGAGAAGTGCCGTGACGGCGCGATGGCGTCCCGCAGCCCCAGCACCTCGATCGCGAGGTCCCTGCTGGCCGTCAAATTGTCGGGTTCTCAGGTGGTACAGGCGGCTGCAGGACACGGCAGATCCTCGAACTCGGGCGGTTCCTCGGGCGGTGGTGGCAGCGGCGGTGCCAACAACTCGTCACCCTCGTCGAACGGCGGCGGCGGCGGTGGCGGCGGTGGTGCTATGATCGGCGGTGGATGCGGTAACGGGGCGATGCTCGGCGGCGGCGGCAGCGGCGGCGGTGGTGCTCTAGGCGGGGGTGCGGGTGCGGGCGGCATGCCTCCCGGTGGAAACGGCGGTCGTGGCAACTACGGCCCGAGTTCGCCGCCGACGGGCTCCCTGCCGCCGTTCTACGAGTCCCTGAAGGGCGGCAACAACCTCGCCAACTTCGCCAATCAGTACAACAGCTCTCAAGGTAGACAAAGCATGCGCCTTCGCTTTTCTCACTTTTACTCGCGTTTTCCCTCGCGTCGCGCGAACGATTTTCGATCCGGCTGTTGATTCGATAAGTATGTACCTCCGCCGCATTGAACTTTCTAATGATACGCGGTTGGTATTGCTAGACCGATTCTAGTCATTGATGAGCGCATTTCTGACATTTCTTGCAGGCAGATAATGATTTCTTTATGACATCTATTTAATTAATTATATTGTATATTAATTGATTAATTAATTAAAATACCAAGAGACAGAAGCCCTTATCTCTAGCTTTGTCTTGTTAATTTAATTTTTAGCTAAACTGACTAAATTCTAGTAGAATGAGATTTCCTCTTTGCCATTCTAATTTAGCTATATTCGTCGTATTATTTCGAGCGTTTACTTGAAATTTCGTTGTCAGTTGGCAATATTTATCTTATCTTGTTATTGAAAAGTTATTGAAAAAGACAACAAAGCGGGACATTTCCACAGACATTTCAACAGATCACCATGTGTTGTTTACATCTTTTCCAAATAATTTACGCCGATGGTGACCGTTCGCGATCAGTTTCGATTTGAGTTTTCAGCGTGCGGTTTAGCAAATTCTGTTATTCATGTCTTACAAAATTGTAATCGTACGTCCTACGCTTGGACACGTTGTGTGTCGAATTATCTTGTATATTCTTTTTTGTACTTATTACAGTTTCGTTTTTTGCCTGTATCTTTGTTTTTGCTCTTGCTATTATCTGTGCAAGATTTTATATCGTATTTTAATTAAATTGTCTTGTCTTTGGGAATGTCTGATGCAAACATTGTCTAGAATTGGAGAATGCGAGGTACGTCTTTTTTTTTCGGCATATCTAAGATATTACTTGTACGTACAATCGTGACTCACTTTAATTAATCAAATTATTGCGACACTTGTTCTCGAAAATGTGACTTTCATAATGCATAAATTTATCACACGATATCATTATTCTTTCAAATCTGAAAAAAAACCGTGTTTAATAGCTTATAAAGATTCATAGATTTTGCTGGACTGTCTTAAATCGTCTGTCGTTTCAGGAAACGCGTATCTCACGCCATTGACGGCCGTCGGGATCGACTGCGATACCGGTCAGCAGGACAACTCTCAGCACGCGCAATACAATGCGCAAGAGGGCAAGCAGTACTCCCTCCTTCAGAATGTGTGCGCAAACGTTTGCGCGTCCTACGGCCTGACATTCAAGGAGGAGGAAGAGGAGCTGGCGGGCTACAAAATTCAGCCGAACGACCTGCTGTCCGCCCAGTACGGCGCCTACGACGTCACCGACACGGGCATGATGGTGGACATGGTGACCGGCACCATGGTGGTGGACCCGCTGCAGTTCACCGCGGCGACATTGACCTTCAACTCGCCGTCCGATCACACGGCGCTCCTCGAGACGCTCAACGACGCGGCGGACCTTCTGTTGCCCAGGCTGCAGACCGAGGACGGCGGCAGTGATCTCCTAGACGAGTCGCTGCACTCGCCCGCCTCGACCGGCAGCAGCGGGATCGGTCAGGACGCCGGTCAGATGACTACTCCCGTCGAGCCCAGTGTCGATCCTTTCCCCGAGCACAGCATGGCCTTGACCAGAGGCTTTGACACGAGGTGAGCTCACGCTCCCGACTACCGTGAGAAACGCGGTTCGCGCGCGCTCGTTGATTAACTAACACTATCTCCCCCCGTTGCGCCGTTCGCCGTTTTGCTTTCATCGCCAGTCGCGTCGTCGAGTTTAAAAGCCGAGTACCGTGTAATACCGAATGCCAATCGTAAGTTTCAATCGGATAAAATAACATGTTGATGATGAATCGCGTGCCCTTTTCCTCAGACACTATACGACCCCGCAACACTTTAACGCGTCCAAGCTGGCGGGATTGAGCTACGCAGCCGGTGAGAGCTACCAGTCGCTTCAAAAGGAACGTCCGGAGCTTGCGTTGCACGTCAATCAGAATCACCAGCATCAGCAGGACCAACAGCTGCAGATTCAAGTGCAGCTACAGCAACAGCAGAAGCAGCAGGCTACGTCGCCGCACCAGCAGCAGCAGCAACAGCAGCAACAGCATCAGAGTCTTCTAAGCCCCGGATTGAATTTCAATAACGGTAAATTATGACGATTGCGTAACTATTACTGAATTAATTGATCCGTTCCGGGATTTTAACACGAATGAATATTACACAGATAGCAATACTTATTGTTAGTTCTAAAATTATGCTAAAATTTAATCAACATTTTTTATATTTTTTATATTTGAGACATATAATTATATGGAAGTATTTAAAAGTAAAGAAAATTAAAAAGAAAAGTAAAAAAAGTAGTACGATTCATCGATAATGAAAGATTTTTATAATTCGTTGATTTAGGACTAATGAATATTACACAGATAGCAATACTTAGTTCTAAAATTATGTCAAAACTTAATAGATTTTTTATATTTGGGACATATAATTATATGGAAGTATTTAAAAGTAAAGAAAAGTAAAAAAAGTAGTACAATTGTTCGCTAACGGAAGATTTTTAATTCGTTGATTTAGGACTAAGGATTAATACCGCGCTAACGGTTCGATTGTTTAATCTCGAAGGTTTAGAGCTAGACTCCGGTAGCAGCGTAGGCGGAAGCTTACCCAGCCCCGGCACCGCGAGCTGTTCCCTGGACGGCGCCTCGACCGGCACCTCACCGTCATGCGGACTGGGAGAGCACGCGCACAGTCCAGTCGTATCACCCACCACAGTCGCAGCCCAAGCCGCCGGATCAGTGGGCGAGCCGCCGCTCTCGCAACGGGTCGGTGTACTTCATCAAAGGGTAAGCTACCCAAATTGATCCAGGCAAAAGCATATATTTTCGTTCCGCGGATATTAAATTACCGCCCGGAAGCGGGGGGTTCGAGTTGGCGACGTCACGTCGGGATGTCGTCCGCGATACTATTTGCGGGTTCCTCGAAGCTTTCGAATTTAATCGAATTGTTCGAGCAAGCTCGTGGATCGGTGTCCGAATCCTGACATGAGATCGACGTACGAGAGACGATAACGAGTGGATCGTTAATTTCCACTCTCGCGCGCGAATTATGCAATGCTCACAGTCAATTTGAGTGCTTCATCCGAACGTTCATCTTCCGATCGTCATGAAAAACACAAGCGAGAATTAACGTCTATTCTCATCGATTCGTAGCTGGGTTTACCGACCGATTGTCAACTAGAATTTGTTAATGGTGGTCACGGCATAAAGAACCCTTTAGCCATCGAGGGTCAGAGGCAGGCGACGGCTACTCGGGATGAAGAAAGAGCTAATCGCACTCCGCCTAGCAAGGTAATGCTGCTGCTTTGTGCGAACATTGCGTTAGCTCTGCGCAATCTAGAGGCATGGCATTACTAGAGACGTGGCTGTGAAAATCCATAATACGATTCCATTGTATATCGAATCGCGAAGCCTGATGCCGCAAGATTACATGAAGTCGTTGCAGGGTAATAACTCTTCGACCCTTTGCTCAACAGGACGACGATCCTAATCGCTTCACCTGCCGCGTGTGCAGCAAGAACTTCAGCCTTCAGCGACTGCTCAATCGTCACATGAAGTGTCACAGTGACGTGAAGCGTTACCTGTGTACATTCTGCGGGAAGGGCTTCAACGATACGTTCGATCTCAAGAGGCATACGCGGACGCACACGGGCGTACGGCCCTACAAATGCTTCCTGTGTGAGAAGAGTTTCACGCAACGGTGCTCGCTGGAGAGTCACGGCCAGAAGGTCCACGGCGTTCAGCATCAATACGCGTACAAGGAACGACGAGCTAAGGTAAGATTCATTGAAAGCAACATCTTGAAGAAAAACTAACGTGAATAAGTTTCTTTTTTCTTTTTTTTTAAGGAATTTGAATTCTATAAGACTATAAAATAGAGCGAAGCAATATTTTGCATCTATTATTCCAAGATTCTCCCTATGGTAGATATTTTTTAATTTGTTATTCTCACGCGATATGTCTGTTCGACAGATGTACGTTTGTGAGGAATGCGGACACACGACGCACGAGCCCGAGGTGCATTATCTTCACCTGAAGGAGCAGCATCCTTACAGCCCGGCGCTACTGAAGTTCTACGACAAGCGGCACTTCAAGTTCACCAATAGTAATTTCGCCAATATGTTGCTCCAGGTGGGCACAGACTCCGCATAGACACGATATTAAAATGTTTTGAAATTCGTGTAGGTAGAAGATAGGTAGCGCGTTGATTAATCGACTGTCTGGGTAAATAGGATGGCCTCGAACGAATAAAACAAAACAAAAAAATACGTAGCGCGGTATACAAGAACACGAAATTGTTCTTGTTGATGTAACTCTTCAGGGTGGCCTGTTACAACGGGACTCACGGAATACGGACAGCTGTGGCCTTGCGGAGCGACGAGAGATAGCCTCGAAGAGCAGCGGCGCGGCGCACCAACACACCAGCTTTTAAAAGTCCGTCGAGAACGAGAGTTCCGGGCGAGAGGCAGAGAGACAAAGATAGAGAATGTGGCAGAAAGAAAGAGAGAGAGGAAAAGAAAGATGCCGATTGATCACGCGCTCATTCTTCAATTAGGCTGACGAAGGGAGTGACGTTTCGCGCGTAAAGTACCTGCAGGTGGCTCCCATTGCGGTGACACTGGAACAAAACATCGAAGTCCAGCGACAGAATCCGATTGAGGGATCGCGTGGTGATCTGTGATCAATTGGTTCCTGCCGCCCCTTAAATTCACGGGTAGAGGAGGCAGAGGACGAGGCAGCGGAAGAGGCGGAAGAAGAAGGCGTACACGGTATTTCTCTTATAGCTTCTCGTCGATATAATGAAGTTAAGCTTGCGCGTTATTATTTTCTTTCTTCCCGTCTCGATAAGGAAGACATTACCGTTTTACGAAGAAGAAATACAGATGTTCGTAGAAGAACATCTGTCATAGCGTTAAGTTGCAGTGTTTGTGACACTGCTTTATTAACGAAACTTCATTAACGACGCGCCTCATTTTTAACGATGAGAGCGCGTCGGATGCTTAAGCTCCAACGATCGTTCCGCCAGATCGTTCTGAAGAATTACGTATTGCGGACGCTATAAAATCTCGCTTCTACCCACTTCTATCAGGGGGGGACAGTGTCTCGAATTTCTTTATTAAATGCCCTTAGGTCGTTTCTTCTTTTAGTTATAATTTTAACTGTGTAACAGATTAATTTATAAAAAAAAAATATATATATATATAAAGAAATCCTAGAACTGATAATAGATTACAGGAGGATGCATGGGACACAGATGCACGTATACGTACGCACATACAAATACACGTACACACGTATCCTGATACACACAAATCGCATGTAGTAGAGCTTAGATGATAAATATTAATATCGTGGGCCGGGGGCGTGCGCGACATCGAGCAGACCCAAAGACTCGGATAGAACGTTTCAGGAATGCCGATCGTCCTCGGCGAGCGCGCCGAGGCGGGAGTAGAGTGCGATCACACGGAAGACTTTTTTTTTTTTCTCAGAGATGTACGGCGAGTTACGTTGCTTTTCGACTCGATGGGCGAAATGGGGTTCTTGACGTCGCGATCGCCAAGGGGAGAGGGGATTCCTTCGGATCGCGGCCTTCGTCCTGAAGCCTCCATTATCTTCGATCGACCGGGGCACCGGAATCGAGGGGTGCCGCGTTGCTTGAGATCGTCGGGTGTCGCGGAAAAAAAACGGGGCGAGATCACGTCGGCGGAGTGACTCTGCGCTGTACCGTCGTAGTAGTAGAGCTCTACCGGCGACATAGTGGAATAATCGGGATAATTAAAAACGAACATTCCTCCCGCGCCGTTAATGCGATCGACGATTTTATCCTTGAGATGTTCGATGTTAAAATCCAATCTTTCGGCCCTCGAGGGGGATGTTCCAAGTCGATATTTGTCACAGCGAAACGATACGCCGCGGTATCGATTTTAGATGAAAACTTCGGTTTTTATTATCCTCATTTTTTATTATTTTTCTAAACGCCGGTAGTGCATATACATACATATGTATACATATATACATGCATATATACAATACTTTTGTAGTAAGTTCCCAACCGAAGTGCACTTTGGGTAATCTGTGATATGATAAGAGTAACAAGACAATCCACTTGCTCCTCCATGCACCGGATTTCACTTTTCCGCTCTCTTGTGCGCTTGTGGTTTTCTTCTTTTTCTTCTTCTTCTTTCAGGGTCGGGTAGGAGGGTAGGTAAGGGGTAAGAGGAGGGCACGCACGCCTCACACATGTACACACATATGCGTGGATATGCGCGCGCGCACACACATATACACACAAAAACGGGATTCGTGCAATTCTGAGGTGGCAGTATCTTGGATCGGGCGACAATCGATATATTCCGCTCGATTCCTTCCGTCGCGGACTCCGTCCGCGGAAGTAGCACGGCTCGCGACTTCTGAAACTTGGGATACTCAGACGGTCGGTCGGCGAACTCTAAATCTCTCGGGAGACCGGAAGATTAACCCTTGGAAACGCGATGGTCACAACTCTCTCTTTTTTTTTTTAACACAATATTGATCTGATCTGCCTGTTGGTTTCCATCTTCGCATCACGTTCGTTAGCATAAGAATTAAGGAATTATATCTTTCAACGATAACGATATCTATCTTCGTTACTTCAGTCTCCTTCTTTGTATTTATTTGTACCATAGGTCAGTTTATTTTATTATAGAGTTAATGATGTACATATGTACATAGGCTTGTTCATGTCGTCCTCGTGGCATGCACGGGACTCGAAGTGCGCTTGTCAAAGGGTTAAAAAGGGCCGCGTCTCGGCGAGCATATCTTCGAAAGCGTCGATTTTTCGATTTTTCAGTGAGAGCGATAAAGCGCTTCATAAATGTCCTATGGGCATTATGGGTCATCCATTTTTACGTAGAATATAAATTCTTAGGAAATTGAAAATTACGATAATATATATTATCTATGGCTTGTCTCAGAAATGTAAATTGCAAATGCCAGGAATCTAAATGGAAGCTATAAACAAGCGATAAAAAAATCTGCTCTCCTTCGATTTTTATTATTATAGATAACATTCTAGTTTGAATTGGATGACGTGTAAAAAGTTCTAACTAATTTCCGGTGACTCACTCGTGGCAACTTCAACATGAAGCGATCGCTTCACCTGGCTCATTATTCTTTCACATTTCTTGAGCTACTGATAGCGTCCTAAGCGGAATGATTAAAAACGTCCTCATTATATATGGTATAAATGTTGGAAAATTTACCTGTGCTTAAGATTGAATTATAGATCTGTCTCGGCTCGTCGTGCGAAACGCGCCCGCCCGTCCGCGGGTCCGCCCGGTTAATGCGCTGAGAGAGTTCGACAATCTCACTCGAATGATGTAAATACGCGTATAGGATTCTTATATAGGCAGACTATTGATACGTATTTAATTCTCACATATATTCGCATATTCGTTTTTTTTTTAACCCACGGTTGCCTCGGCATGGGCGTTGATGCCGCCTCGCCGTGAGGCGCTCATCCCTATTGTAAATAGTTCTTCATTCCAGCGGCGGAAACGGGTACCGGTTAGCCTGCGATTGTCAGTATGCTTACGACAGTAATGTACGTACGTACGATGTACTTGTACAGCGAACGCGCGAGGACTGGGAGGACAGGAGACCAGTACGGTTTTCCTCGTACCTCGGAGCGAGAAAATAGAGGATAAGACAGTACTCGTCAATCACGCAAGTTAATACGTTACGTAATTTCATTCTTCTTATTATTACTATTATTATTTTATTATTATTATTAACAGTATACTTTAAAACAATAACGACTATCTATGTTTCCACTACTATTTAATTTACGCTCAGTATTGTCGCAAATAATAGCACTTAACTATACATCTTCAGCAAATTTATCGATTTGACTATCATCTTAATTATTTTCACTCTCTTTGCTCTGTTGTTACTTCGATATTTGCAAACGCTATTTCATTTTCTGAAGCGTCCAGCTCTTTCATCCCTAGTACTTAATAATCTGTCATCATCATTATTATTATTATTATTATTATTTTTAATATTATTATTATTTTTATTATATCATTATTATATTATCATTACATGCGCTGAATGATAAATTTAATTATTGACTTAAAAATTAATATTATAGATAGTTCTACACATATGCAGGATATACAGCCCGATGCGGAGTGCTTCTTAATTATATGAATACTTCAATCCAGAGATGAAGAATAATAATATATGAGCATAGATTGTTTAGGCTTTATCTTCGGAGTTGTAGTAACTTAGGGAAAATAAGATTAATACAAATAAGCGCGAAACAGAGCCTTATTCGATCAAAGCGGGTCTTGATGTCTAATAGGAAAATGGTGCCTAATAGAAATTGGTGCCTGATAGAAAATAAGATTATTATTAGATATACTAAAGTGTCATTCGAAATAACGTAATATAATTGTAATGTGTATACGTATATCTTATTTCGAGTCGCATTTTGAAATATATCTGTGTATTTACTTTGATTGAAGTATTGGCGTGTAATTAAGAGTCAGTCTGTACAATATTTATCAGATTGTCCGGTTGCAGAAGCGATCTTCTTTGCGGAACACACGAGAGACGAAGATTATGATTGGGGAAACATGTTACGGCATGGTGTACAATTTGCCCAACCTATAAGGATTTAAAAGTATTTTATCTAAGAATTACTGATTATTTTTGTGAAATCACAACAGAGTTGTTTAAAGTAACCCTTAAGATTCTTCACGTAGTATAAACATACCTAATTTCTCAAAACTGTCGGAAATCTTAAATCGGAATTATTTAAATGAAATAAACTTAAACAGCATGGAACGTGGAAAACATTCCTATGCGGCCAGGATAAAATACCTTTTCCACCTGTGGATTGCGCAAACTTTACACTGGACTAGGGCGAGCTATTAACGTGCGATTGCAAACCGAGCGTGTAATCGTATCCGTGGAAATCCATTGTTCCGTATGGGTGGCATGCGCGCGGATCTGATACGGCGTGCAAAAACACAGCTTTTAATTATACTTTCGGCATTTGTTAGACAAAAAGTACATACGTTGGAGCACTGGAGGAAAGAATGAAGGCTCAGCTAAGAGTGGACAGGCTTACCATGTTGCTGCGGCCGCGTCGTTGGCGATTTTGTAAATTCTATTAAAGAGCGAGACTACGTTGTCCGGACATTGGTGTCTACTTATTAGAGATCGATATTAATTGTAGCTAACGGTAAAACGTGGTTACGCGCTCTTATATGTTTGCGAGAGACAATAAAAATTAATATTATGTATGCACTCCACACATAAATACCCGCTCTTGATATTTCGAAATCATCACGCGCTCAGCAATTGTACTTCACGTTGTTCTTATGTAATATCGAAATATTTTAACGACTATTGCATATCGAATGGGTTGCAATCTCCTGAAGCTGCTCCATCATTTTCTCTTATGACTGTACTATATTCTATAAATTTCGCACTTTTAAACGTAAAATTTTTTGAGTAAAACTTTCGATTAAAGATTGTGATTATTTCTTTACAACGTGATTGCAACTGCATTTTTGTCTGAAACGCCAGATTTGGTTTGATTTTAGAACTGCCAAGGAGAACTTTCTAGGACAGACTTGATTCTGGGAGGGGCAGATGTTCGGATAAGGATTTACGCATTTAGAATCATTTTTTGTATCATGCACTTTATTGATAGATACTTGTTCAGATTTCGCATATTTAAAATTCTTTTTTAAAATTTCGCAAAATATCTTCCGCTGCTGCTCGCTCGCGGAGGCTTTTCTTAAATATCAATGACCGGGAGCGAACAAAAAAAAAATCCACAATCAAATATCGCTTCGAAGAGCGAAACATCGCATCCGTCTATCGCAGCGCTGCAATGTCAAAATGAGTAAGAGAGAGTGCTACGGCTACGGTTAAACTACTACTCCAGGATGCGTTTTATCTGCAACAGAGAATGATGCCGGTGATAACTGCTCGGTAAGAGCGGCGAGAGAAGCGTGGGCGGTATAGGTGCGCACGAAATATCGGAGGCCGGTCATTTCGACCTGGGGCCCCCCCGCGTGTGTGTGTGTGCAGCTCCGGAGAGGGGTGGGTTTTTCGGTGGTGGGTGCTTTCGCCGAATTATTTTCAGCGATTTTTTTCATCGGCCGAAAATGCGCCGTGCTCTCGACGTGCTTCGTTTAACGCGCGCACTTTGTTTTGTTTACTCACTACTGATTACGGAGCTGAACGGCATGTATCTGGGCTTGGCAGGCACTTTCGGCGCGCTCTTGTGCGGTCTGGACGGCTTCTCTTCGCTGCTGAGTCGTTTCACCTGTAAAGAGTTCAAGCCCACGTCTCTTTGAGAAATTATTAAATATAAAATTATTAGGGAATCATTTGCCAAGAATTGCAAGAGGTGTCGTTATACAGTCGTTGTATTTTCTAACGCTACTTGTGTCGTGTGCACGTCAACTATATTTGCCTGCTAATATGCCCGTATGTCGAAACATTCGGAAATCTTTTAACGTACTGTCTTAATAATTCGTCCGGCTGGCTCTCGTCGCTGATACGAAGCTGGACTCGACGAGAAAAATTCAGGCTCTTCGAGCCATTCTGAGCACGAGACGCCAAGTCCGACGATGCATGCGAGACTTCTTCCCATCACGCGTCACATTTTCGCACTTGCGTTCTAATCGCGGTGTCACTTCGGTCGCCCGACGCTTCCTCTCGCATTTCGACGTTTCAGAACTCGAGGCGGGAACTTGAGCATCGACTTTCTCCCGCATAATTCTCACCTGTTCGTCGATCGCCGCGAACTGCCACTTCCACGAGTGGTTATAAAGGAAGGGACGGTGATCGAATCGATTGTCGTCGGGGCTGTACGACTCCGCGTGACAGGCCGGAGTCAATATCGTCATCTTGTGACGGTTTATAGCGTAACATCTGTAGAAGTGTTTCACCTTATCGGCGATCTGAAATGAAAAGTTTTTTTTTTTGTTAATTTACTCAAAGAGAAATTAGACGAATTGAATTAGCATCTCGCTCGAGGAGCGTACACTCACTTCTCTCGGGGTGCAATGATCCCACATGTGCACGAGTCTGCAGAACATCGTAAAAGGCCCGGCCTTACTCTGCTTCCTTAACCGTCCGAAAACTGACAGTTCCTTGTAGGTCATCCCCATGTCTACCTCGTCCAGTTGCGCAAGCTGTCCCGCTTGCAGTGGTTCCAATTCCGCGGTGGGTGGCGCCTCAAGGATATTATCCAAAGCCGATATTCCGTGTTTACGTCTGAAATTCAAACATTAGGAATAACTGAATGTACAGAGCGAATAATCTTAAAATTCTACAAAGATAAAATTATTAATATTTTAAATATTTTAAGGTCTAGTTTATCTCACTGTTAAATATTTTAAGGTCTAGTTCATCTTACTATTATTAAATATTTTAAGTTTTGAAATAAAATAATTGCAATATAAATTCATTATACACCAATTTAGGGTTCAATTTCCGAGTTGTGACAGATCAAAGACAATTCGCTGTGTATATCACTCGCACCTAAAGTACAGCAGAAACTTTTTTAAGTCGTTCTTCGCTATGCCACCGATAGGATTGATGTCGGCGCTGCTGCAATCGTACTTGGTGAGGTAACCGCGTAAGGCCTCGTCCACGTTGCCGCTCCCCAACACCAAAAGGCCACCCGGGCGGCCTCTGACCCATAACATTAATTGAGCGAATAAGTAAGCGATCACCATTCGTAATCGAGCCTGAAAATAAGGTAATAAACGTAGAGAGACGTGTAATTTTATAATCAAGATACATCAGTTCCATCGGAATCAAAAATCGTCGAGCGATTACCTGAACATTTTGCAAGGCCAGGTTCTCCCTGGGCGATCCACCTTGCACTTTGAATCTCGGTGTCAGCTTCGTAACCTGCTGGAAGATCCCTAAAATCGCGGATATCGCGGTATCTATGACTATCCCGTGATGATAGGACCCTATTTGACTGGCCAACTCGGCCGCTCGGGCCTTGGTCTCCGCCGACGAGTTCTCCGTGCCCATATAGCACGTGACCAGGATGGTGTTGCACAGTTGCTTCGGGTCCACCGGTACGTATTCACAGTCGCCGACGATCTTCCTGATGTCCGCTAAGACCTGCATGTCTGAATACAAAGTTACAAAGTAGTTTTCCAAATTTGAAAGAGAAATCCCTACTTATGTAATTCGTGGGGGAGGTAGCGTAGCTGAGCCATACCTCCTCTACCGACCGATTCGACGATCATTTCGCACATCGAATACACGACGCATGCTGAAGACGCCGAGTCGACGCCACCGCTCAGTGGTAAGAAAAATCCGCCTTGACAAGATCGTCTAAAAACGTTAACGTAACAATTAAATAACATAGACAGATTTTTAAGCAGCTCATTATAATAATAAGAAATAAATATCTCTCGACTCTTCTCGCGCACCTCAAATAATCCCACAGCCAGCACGCAGGTGCCATCGCGATCTCTTCTTCCGCGGTGTGATACACGAGACTCGAGTGCCCGTCGTCGTCGCCGTACACATCCTGAACTCCGTCGAGCGGTCGATCCGGTGGATTCGAGACGAGATTCTCCGGCGTGAGCGCGAAGTCGATTTTCACGCGCGGATAACTAGGCGACGCAGCGGCCGTGTGCGATCGCGATCTAATGCTGTTCCGGTAATTTCTAAAGAGAATAGTACAATAAGGCTAAATTAATTTTTATTTTACAATATTTGCCAGACAGAAGAATTCGAATTCTCTAATTATCTTAAAATAAAATAAAATAAATCAAGTTATCCGAATATCAGTACTTTAAGCAATACTGCTTGGTAGAGCAATCTGCACTGCCACCGCTACTTGAAGTGGTCAGAAATCCAGATCAAACCCCTTTACCTTATATCCTCGAGATCGAACGTGGCGACGGTTACTTCCACGTCCTCGAGAGCGAATTGCCGTCCGCGATTTAACACGTTTCCGTTGAGCGTGATGCTGGAGCCGCCGTTGAAGTACAGCCTGCCGCCGTCGCATCCGCGCAAATTACTGAACATGTAGCAGCCGCCAGCCTTGAAAGTGGCCGACTTAACGAGATCCACGGTGAGGTAGGCCTTGCGTAGCTCGAAGTACGAGCCGCTTGCTTTCGGAGAAAAATAATGAAGGAAAAAAATTTTCAGAAAAGAATTTTAAAATGAACTTTAAAATGAAATTGAATTTTTAAAGTTGATCGAAGTGAATTTAAAGTTTGATTTAATCCTTTAATTGACAAAGATATAATTTTAATTTTCGTTAAAAAAATAGAAAAAAATAGACGAAAAAAGGCAGAGAGAAGAGTACATCAGTTGTGACGTCAAATACATTTCGTAATAAAGACATTACCGTTCGCGATAATTTCTACGCCGTCCAACGACATCGGAATATGACTGCTGGCCGGGTGCCAAAGCTCCTCGCATATTTCGAAACCCACGCACGTGTCCCTCGTCGCGATAACCGCGTCACCGAACGGCACTACGGTCTGACTGGTGACTTGCGATATCATTCGCGGCAGGAAATAATCCTCGACCGTACGTTCCTAGGCATAACAAAACGTCGGGGATTATCGCGCGTCCCTAGGGCATGTACTACGATCGTTGATAATGATCGATCAATCACACGTGGTGTGTTACCCCCTGCGTTTCATTACTTTGGTCCAAGGAGAGAACCATCTGGTTTCCCTGTAGTTGCCGTTCTCGCAGAGCCGCATCTTCGGCCTGATCAGCAATATCCGTCGATTCAGAAAGGCCACCCTGCAGTTGTACGTCACGTTCTTGTGCATCACCGGCATACCCACGTCTATCAGTATATCCTCGCAAACGCTGGACTTCAAAAGGGTCGATAAAACTTCCCAGCTATGGAGCAACGTGTCTGACTCGTAGAAATGATCCTCGCAGCTGTACCCGCTGTTAAATGGATGTAATTGCAGCAAAATAACGTAATAAGTGATAAAAGTAATAAAAAGTAGGTAAAAAAAGATTACAATTTCGTAATTATAATAGAAAAAAATTTTGTAATTCCAATGGGAAAAATATATGACTTTAGATGACCGGTTAATAATTTTTTCGAAATTCTTACAAACAGCGAGATTAATTTCCCGATCTAATTACCAGATTTCTAGCTCGGGACCACTCCTGTAAGTGGCACCGGCATCCTTCGCCTCTTGTACACTCTGCAAAATTCTCCTGGTATTCCCGTCGAAGTCCATCGCCCATTGGTTTAACGTGCAAACGGCGACGGTCACCGTACGTCCCATGTTGAATAAAATTTACCGTTATTCCTGAACGAGATTCGCGAATGCACTTATCTGAAACAAACAAAACGTACGTTACTTTCGACTTGGCGGGAAATCAGAGAGTTAATGCCGCGAGACAATTACGTAAGTAGAATTACAGTTGTGCAGAATTGCTTTCTCAATTTAGCAGTTTCGATTCTTCAATATTTTCAGAAAAATAGCAAAAATAAAAATATCGAAGCAATTAAAAAAAATTAAACTTAATCACTTCAATAAATGTTCATATAAATATTATATTAATTTGTCAAACTCTTGAAAATACATAAATAATTTTGAAGCGCGTTTAAAAATTCCACCAGTACCAAATATTATCGTGCGAAAAAGAAGGAATCGATCGGACAGACAGGGTGCAAAGAACTGGAGCGCGAGAAAAGTCTGACAGTTCAATCTCTGCGAATCGCATCGATGCGCGCCAACACTATCGTTTCGTATTGCAATTTACGGCACCGTCATTATCGTGACTGTTAAAAGTCGGCGGTCGCGTGTGCGTCTGATGGAACTTCTGCGGCGGCAGCCTGCCAGCAATCCTATCAATTGGAATTCCATCGATCCGTATACCCCACGGAGATGATAAACCGTTCCGTTCTCCTTTGTCCGGCGCGCGTTGATTGATCAATAACTCGGAAAACCCGGCACGGCCAGGTAGGCACCACCTTACGTAGCAACCCTTACAGATCGTTATCTACCACGCACATGCACGTTCTTCACATATTTTATCTTCGGAAAATTACCTCCCTTCTAAACTTATTAAAATTTTTGTGATACTCCAAACGTTAAGGCTAATCGTCTGATCAAAAGAAAGATTATATAAAAAAAGAAAAAAACATTCAAATAAGATATAAGTCGAAAGATCCAAAAAAAGATATAACTTAAAAACTTCAATCAAATCACACTTGACGCTAAATAAATAACCTTCCTAATTAACAACCTAATTAATTACTTTTAAAGTAATATAACATTCATTATTCGTTGATGAAAGTCTTAAGTATTGGGAAATTCCGTTCTTTCATAAATATTTATTTGCGTAACAAACGGAATGTTATAAAAAAACAATGGCATACCGACGGACATTAACATATTGCCAAATCAGCGAATTTTGTACGTCTTACTGTATAAAATTTCCATAGTTGCATAGAATTTCCATTATCATAATGTATAATGATAAAATATTGCGTAATATGATTGAATAAGGCTGTGTCTTTATGGGTACCTTAAATAGAGTACTTTTTACTTTACATTGTTCTCTAGTTATTTATGCCATTTAAAATTTTATATTACATGGCATTTATCCTTTACAAGCGTTTGAAAAATTCCGATAGCGCCGGTCACCGGTGACCACAATAGCGTCGCCGATAATCCACCGTGGCAATTAACATATTAAAATCAGGCGTAATCCTGCCCCCAAAAAAGTATCACCCACAAAAGGAAACTGAAACGGATCAACAGCGCTGCGCTCTTCCGTCCCTTATTCCTCAGAATTAATTCGCTCTCGATCGCGTCTAATTATCGCGCTCTAACGGCACTCTCGCCGCCGGTTTCCGATCGACGAGCCGCCAACGAGCGTCGCTTACCTCGGAAACGTCGATAGAGAACGAGTCGAGTTACCGACGAGATATTATTATGTCGATGAGCCGCGCCGGCGGCCTTCTGGAAACGAGGAACGGTTAAACGGACGATCGTTCCGAGGGTAGCTCCGCCCACGTTTCGCGACGGTTGTCAGGCAATCATCCAGGGAACGTTTCACCGAATGTCTTCGGCAGCGGGCGAGGCTCCTCTCCGCGTTCGCCAGGTCGAATCTATCTCCCGAGTACCGCGGAGCTCCTAGTACAACTTGCACACACTCTTTCTCCCATTGGCGATCCTCGGCGAATCTCTCTATTCGTTCCCGACACCCCCGATTTAGTCAATCATCTATATTTGTACGATTCTTTGGTCGATCAGTGAAAGTTGACATTAAGAGAAAATTAAATAAAGACTCACCGTGGACGTTTCGTTCTTAAACTATTCTAAAGCAATCGAATTTCAAGGTCTGTTTTCTAATAAATTTCAACTGCGTGTCATCATTTGAAATTGTAATTATACAGAACTACAGAGACTTTAATAGAGCAGCTAAATATACAGATATATTTCTCTCGAAAAAATGGTCAAGGTTCTCTGACTAGTGTTGAATAAATAAAGCTCAGCCTTGCCGTATAGATTCGCGTCCGCTGCTTCGGTAATAACATCTCAAGCTATCCTAATTGTGAGAGGAAAAGATTTAAGATAATTTGGAGCGCTGGGGATTTTTGAAGCGTCGTGTCGCGAAAAGTGATTCTTGACATGTATATCACGAGAACGTGAACGAACGCGCGGAGATGAAGAATCCGATTGTCAAGTACCTCCTCGGGGAGGAAGTGCCGACGAGGGAGGACTACACGGACTGGCACGAGAATGCTAAGGGCGGAAGGTCGTCGCCGATGCTCGCCGTCGACGTCGACGATCGCGACGAGCAGGACGAGGACGAGACCGACGAGAGATAACGAAAGATGATGAAGGCGGTGTCGAGCAGCAGAGTGAGAGAGCTTCAAGCCGAGCTATTTCCGGTCCAACCCATCCCAGGTGAACTCTAATAAATACGGGGATAATTGCCGGATGATATAGAATCAACGGAAAAATCAACACTGTTATTTATCCGAGAAACAAATTAATTCTCTATAAGTTAATTTTATTAAATAAATAAATATAGTAAAATTAAAAATAATTTATGTGAAGTTATAAATAAATATAAATTTATTAAATATAATAAAGTTCATTTTATTAAACAGTGGCCAATAATATATATGTATAATACCAAGATAAATGATACAAAACTTTGATATATACGATTATCGAATGAGACTTTATCCAATAATAATAATACATAGAAAGAATGATTTTACTGAGGTATCTAAAAATTTTGTTATAACAGATACAGATCTAAAAATAATTTTGTTGGGTCACATCAAAATAATTATGTGGGATGCTCAAGCAATGCTGATGAGCAATGCTGCTAAAATTTGCCATTTTAGCAACCAGTTTGAGCGTTTTACAACTAATTGTTTTGATGATCCAATAAAATTATTTTCCGATTTGTATCTAATTAAATTTTAGTTACTTTTTTAGATACTTCAACAAAACTATTCTTTCCGTGATACATTTTGCCTTTATGACTTTTTTAAATCATGCGCCGATTGTTTTTGAAATGCAGTTTTTACGACGAAGAAATATAATATCGGAGTATTAAATTCTGAAGTGGAGAGGGGAATATATATGCTTGTAACAACATATGAGATCGAAGTGTCGGCGAGGTCGCGAACCTACGGACATTGTACCCGACCATCGATCCCCTACCAAAAGCAACATACGATCGTGTTTAATCCCTCTCGAAAACCTAGTGCCAATTCGCCGAACCTATCATTATGACGTGCATCATCACGCGAAATAATTTAATTTGCAGATCATTTCGATTATCCACGATTTTTATTCGTTAAAAAAAAAACTCGTATTTCCCATTAACATTTCATGCATATATAAATCAAAACGATTAACAAGTCTCTCGGGATATTCTGTGCGACGGAAAATTTTCGAATTTTCTCGCAAGTATCGTTTCAATTAATTTATCGAACAAAATTCGGAACATTGCCGATCGTGGATTTACTTTTCTCATTGACAAATGAAGAGAGGTGAAGAACAAATTATATTTAAACAAATATATAAATTTATTTCGGCAATAATGATGAGGATGAATTTTTTTTTAACGGCGCAGGTGGCATGCTCTCCGATCTAACGCCGCAGGATTTGCAAGTGTCTCAAGTGGAACGTTACGAGAGCTCGGCTCTGAGACGAGACGCGGAATCAGCGCTGTTCGCGATACCTCTGGGTCTGTCCAGGCATCGGTATTCGAAGGAGGCCCTTCGAGCGGTACTCGATGCGCGCTGCATCGTCGACGGAAGCATCCAGGAAGCGGCCAGGTGGCCGACCGAGTGCCAGGTGAAAATTAACGCACCTGCACGTTTTTCACGTTTCACTTTTTCCGTAATTTTATCTCAAGATCACGAACAGCCTTTCTCGGAAGACAAAATGACGCGTATCGCCGTATTATGATTCACCGTATATAACGTTAATTGCTTCACACGAATTGCGATTTTGATAAGAAATGCTTTCAAGTTTTTCTTACGAAAATATGCGCGAAATAAGAAGCCATTAATTTATTCCACACTCCGTTACTGTGGAGCTTTAATCTTAAGCTACATATAGTTGATACAATGTAATAAAATTATATAATTCGAGATAACGATCTATCAGGTGATCGCAGAAAAAGTTCGTCACATCGAGTACAATCCTGACACGCCGGAAGCCTTCTACGTGTCAACCGGAAAGGAACCGAGACCCAAGCCGATCGGCGACGAGCTTGGAACGGTGATCTTTCGTTACTGTCCAACTAACGTTACTAATTACGTAAGTCGCGCGATATAATCCGCTATTTAATTATTTCTTATATACATATAAAGCGACACACGTGACTGATTCAAGTTTGAATAAAATTAAATTTTTTTTTAAATGTGAAATTAATTAATTGAAAAACAATTTCCGTCTGAGAATCTAGAGTTTGCGAAAGAGGGTTTGTGTTATTTCTGCAGTTTAGCCGATCTTGCGTGGGTGGTAACACGGTGTTACCGTTCCCCGCGGATTTTTCCGGGGAGTCGACCGCGTGCGCCAACGGCAATGACATCTTTTTCGTCACCGAAGCATCTCGGCCGAAGGACGACACGGATCTGCGGTTCGAGTCGCGATTCGAGTCTGGAAACCTCGGCAAAGTGGTGAAGATAACCGACACGTATTACCAGCTCTACCTGCGAAGGGACCTCTACACGCAGAGACATACGCAGTGGTACTACTTCAGGGTATCGAATACGAGAAGCAGAATTACATACAGGTAACCAACCAAAAAGACCGCGGAAAGTCAATCAACTGCATTTACCATCAGGAAATTTAAAAGTTAAAAAATAAATTTAATAATTTTTAAATTGAATTAAATTGAATTTGAATTTATTCGATTTAAATTAAAAAATATACAATTGAGAAATTAATACACATATGCACATATACACATTGTGATATAAGAAGCTATTTTATTATTAGCTCTTTTTGGTTTGTATGATCCAGACTGTTTAAATTAGATTTAAATTAAAATTAAAACGTGAAACATATAAAACACCAAATCGCGATTATACATCTACTTTTTTCCAATCCGAATCAAATCACTCGAACTTTTTTTAGTTTCTTTAAATTTTAAATTAAAACCTGGCAGCAATATAAATCGCGTGTATAATTCAATGATTCGCTCTCTGAAAAATATATCGTTATCGGTGGCAGATTCTCAATCGTAAATATGTGCAAAGATGAGAGCCTTTACAACGAAGGCCTCAAGCCTCTCCTTTACTCCACCGAAGACGCTCGAACCCGATCCGTAGGATGGAGAAGATGCGGCGATAATATCGCGTATTACCGAAACAACGACTCATCGTAAGAGAATTCCTTACTTCGAAGATAACGCCATAACGCGGAATAGATACAAAAGAAAGATAGCACGGAATGATTACAGAAGCGACGAGGAGAAGGAGAAGCACACGCTGACGTTCAACATCTCGTTCCCTCACGATCGTGACATCGTTTACTTGGCGCACTGCTATCCGTACACTTACACCGATCTCCAGGTAAAACGGTATTTAAAAAAAACTGCAAAAAATGTATAATAATTGAAGTAACTGAATTAAGAAAGTAACGCTGGTCATTCGCTTTATTCCGTTTACTTCTCGTTTTCCCATCGCTCAAGAAAGCAATTAACGTGAGTGAATTATAGGAATGTGCTCTCAGTAATTGCCGCGCGGAATGTTCCCACAAATGCGTATCGCTCGCGGGACGAAGCGGTATTTGGTTTCGCTCCCTTCCTCCTATCGCGATTACCATCGCGAACCGATTCCCAGTCCCGGCGATTGTATTTTACTGCGCGATTCCCGCCGGCAGATTAAATCTCGATCTATCTCCCCGGTCTCTAATTGCCCGCATAAACATCATGCCCCAGGAGTATCTCGGCAAGATCGTGGCCGACCCCGCGAAAACGCGGTACGCCAAGCTGCGCCTGCTGTGCCGCAGTCTCGCCGGAAACGGCGTGTACTACCTGACGATCACCGCGCCGACCCACGACGAGGAGGTGCGCAGGAAGCGGGGCGTCGTTATCACGGCCCGGGTGCACCCCGGCGAGACGCCGTCGAGCTGGACGATGAAGGGCATCATCGACTTCCTCACCGGCGACACGAACCGGGCCAGAGTAAGACGCGATTTCGCAGCTCCGTATTAGATGTGTATCGCGGTCCGAAACGCGATCTCCATCTCGAGAGATCCGAGACAAAGAGATATCGAATCGCGAGCGCGATTTAAACGGGCGATTAAGATATATCGCTATTGAAACCTGAGATTTGCTTGATATCGAAGATTCGAGCTGCGAAGATTAACGACCGATCTAACGATTATCGCAGGAGCTCAGAGAGAGATTCGTCTTCAAGTTGGTGCCGATGCTGAACCCGGACGGCGTCATAGTGGGCAACAATCGCTGCTCCCTGTCCGGGAAGGATCTGAACCGGCAGTACAGGACCGTGATGCGGGAGAGCTATCCGTCCGTCTGGCATACGAAGCTAATGATACGGAGGCTCCTCGAGGAATGCGGGGTGGCGATATACTGCGACCTCCACGCTCACTCGAGGAAGCACAATATATTCGCCTACGGTTGCGAGAGCAAGAGGACAGGGTGCAACGGGAGGCTGTCGGAGCAGGTGTTCCCGCTGATGCTTCACAAAAACGCAGCCGACAAGGTAACGTAAACTCACCGGGATACCACCGGAAATTACACTGTTTGATCCTTTAATTTTAATTTTTTTTTATTAAAATCAATTTTATCAAAATGAAATCGGTATAAGCTCATGAAAACTCTGGGAATTTCTTTTGTATGACAGTGATTTTTTTTTTAATTAACGTTAATTGATTGCCCAACAGTTTCGTTTTCTGTTATTTCAGTTCTCCTTCGAGAATTGCAAATTCCACGTCGAGAAGGGGAAGGAAGGCACAGGAAGAGTGGTCGTATGGTCGATGGGCGTGCAGAATAGTTACACGATGGAGGCTTCTATGGGTGGCTCCAAAATCGGCTCCAGATGCGGGACACATTTTTCCAATCAGGATTACGAGCAGATCGGCAAGGCGTTCTGCGAGACCTTGCTCGATTTTTCTGATCAAGACCCCATGAAGGTAAACACTGTCAGATTAGTACCTCGATCGCATTTCCAAAGAAATGTCGCAATTAAATCGAAATCTGTTCACTTACTCGAATTTACTCGATTTTTACGCATGCACTTTCTTGGGCTTATATCATGGGTAAGTAATATAGATTAATCTAATGAGTAAAGTCTCATCGTCGCGTCCTACCGTGAAAAAGAAATTTAGAAGCACTTCTAAATTTATTTATAAAGAAATTATATTGTTCAAGGCTTCTAATTTGCGTAATTCTTATGCATCAGGATGGATCTCGCGAACTTGGCCCGACAGGAAAGACTCCGAAATAAGATTATAGCCAGATTAACGAAGGAGGGGTCCAGTGCCGAGGAGCCCATTAATGTCGATTTGACCGACTATTCAAGGTATTATTCTTCCCCGATATAATTTCATCTGTCATCCTATGCCATCTCTAGATAGTTTATACGACTATAACGAATTTTTCTAGCGACGAGGGGGACATATCACAGGAGAGCTTCTCATCGGAAGAGGGAAGGACCGAGTACACGGATGCTGCGTGGTCCAGCGAGGGCGGAGAGTACCTGGCGGGTCGCCGCCGGTATCTTTGCGTGCCACCGCCGTCGCCGACCTTCGTCCCGCCGAGAAGCGTCGGTCTTTATAGGAGGAGGGCGCGAAGAGACGTCGCGGGAAGAATTTATTTAGAGCGCAGGAGAAATCTGGTATCTATAATTATACCCTCGAAGTTAATTCGTAAAGTTCGAAGATTATATATATATATATATATTTTTTTAAAAGAGGCGGATTCTTGTGTGGAAATAACTCGCTAAATCGTATTACGTTAAATCGATAGACACGACGGGCGGTGATGGACTTGCCGACCACGGATCCAGGTAGCGACCTGTGCGATCTGACTGACTCGGCTGACGAGAGCTTCGTCAAAAGCGACGGAAGAGAATACGACGACGGTACGTCTAACAATATCGAAATAAACATCTATATCGTCATCATGTTATACCGTGCACGCGGTGTCTTTCAGTTACATGGAGAAATAAGCAAGAATACCACGAGGAGATAATCGAGCTGTCCGAGCGGGAGACGGCCGAAAAAGAGGGGGGACAGGAGAAGAGGCTGATCTTACCGGAAATCGTGAGACCTCGCAGCGTGTCCTTCGGGGAGTTACTGCCGCGCAAGGATCATCGGAAGACTCGACAACGATCGCGATGCCTTCGGTACAGATTGAATGTTTCTTTAAAAAAAAAAAANAAAAAAAACAGAAAGAGTTCTTCGATAGCTGCCTACAGTATTTTTTTAACGAAATGGAAGTCTAACACCAGTGTAATATTGTATTTT